TGTCACAGGGGAAATTGGAATCCAGGGGGATCCGGAATCCTCCTGGGGGAGATTGGAATCCCTATCTGCCCTAGGAGAATCTGGAATCCTCCTAGGGGAATCTGGAATCCTCCTACAAGAGATTGGATTCCTGATATTCAGATCCCAAGTCAGTAGTACAAATAAAAGAACTCATACATAGAATCATTTCACACCTAAACTTTCAACTAATTTCAGCATAGGCAAGCCTATTAATATAATTGTAGGTGAATTACTAGATTGGAATCAAGATTTGTCCTGGCATAATTTGCAGTTCAGATTCCATAATTGCAATCTTTCCTCACCAAATATATTTCCAATTGTGAAAACAAATTGGCAAAATAAAAGAAACAACAAAATTCCTACAAACGATGATTTTTTTTTCAGAATTTACACATGGCTTGGTCGGGGGAAACAATCCCTTATATACCAAGTCACTAACAAACTTGAAAAACTTGTTTTGAGTCACTATCTCACAATGGCCTGATGCAAATATCTGATTTACATATTCACTCACTCTATTTTCCCAAGCATTTTAATGCAATCAGAATTTCTCCATTTAAAATTGGAGATTGTCCTGTAACTAGTGTAAGAATTCCCATGTGTCCTAGGACAAATTGCCATTCCTATCTCCTTTAGGAGAATCTGGAAATTCCTCCTAGAAGAGATTGGAATTTAGATATTCAGATACCAGTTTTGTGAAAGAACAACTTGAATTCCAGTCTCCCCTAGGAGGATTCCGGATCCCCCTGGATTCCAATCTCCCCTGTGACATATATATATATATATATCTGATTACCTCCTTAAGCCATCTGATTACCTATTCAGTATTTGTTACCAGGTTTGAAAGTATTGAGAACGTAAACGGAAAGTTAAGGTGTCTGTCCTTAAATCAACTTGCAAACAGTTTTTAAGCCACAATACTACTGTAAATTGAAATTCCTTGATGTTTTTAGACCAAAAACCCACTGCAGAAAGGACACAGTCTGAGAGAATTGCAACCTTGAAAAAATACTGCAGGACGAACGACACCAAAATTAAGGTAAATTATTTATATATTAGCAACATATTAAACTGCAATTAATTTACACATGTCTTCGCCATGTCAAGAAGTCTTTGGGAGTGTTGATATTTGGAAACTTGAAACTCCGTAAATAGTTTCATTATGTTGGTTATTCTGAGTAAAGAAGCGCTTTAATTTTAGACAACCAAGGGTTTTATAACGTCGGCTGTAAAAAAGAAACTTGTTTTTGTAAAAGGAAAATTCTTAACTCTCCAACCTTTTTTTTTTCATTGTGTTGTAGACATATCAAGTAGCTCTGCACTGCACCTTACGTCCATGGGTTAGGTGCAGAGCAACCTGTCACGTAACTCTGTTTAGGTTACGACACATATAAACCTAGTTACACAGACCCGGTCCTGCTCTCCCGATGTTTTATCGTAATCTTAAGTATGCTTATACGTAAACATTATCATTACTAGCTTGATTGTCTTAGATTAAATAACAAAAACGGCCACTACAGTTTCTAACGAGCTGTTAGGAGGCCCGAATTGCACTGACTACTACCAGCCCCACTATTCAAAAATAATTAACCTAAATTAACTTGACACTTGCAGAAAATTTACCTTATACTTTCACGCTACGCTTCAATACCTTAGATAGCCGCTAGGACACCATCATTAAACTTTACCGTCATTTTTGCTGCCAATAACCATCCACTAATACCATTGACAACCAAGCACAAAAAACACAGCTTTATGTAGCAGCGCAGCGAGGACATTGCAGGATAAATAATTTTTAGCTTTCCGTAACCGCTACGCACCTACAAAATACCGTCATGATCTATTCACAGCTTTTCGAGTTACGCGGAACACATACAATACACAATCAACAAATACACAAAATCCCCGCTGCATGGCAGTAAAATTCTAGGGGGAAATTTTAAATTTAATGAATCTACATTTTTATATAGCTATCCGCACACCAAATATCAAAAAGATTCATCCACAATTTCTCGAGTTTTAACGATGACCTGCATACAGACGCACACCTGACACCCCGACGAGAGCCTTTCCATTTACGATTTGATTAAAATTGATTACAAAATATAATTTACGATATGCAATGGTTCCAGTCACGCAGTAGGTGCCTTATAAACCAGGCTGTCCGTTAGATGTTAGGTGAGCAATATATTGTTAATTGAAATGAGTAGGTCGGAGGGTATCAGGTGCGGTCAAGATAAAGGATAGAAACATTTAGGGACTGTCATTATCAATTAACTCATTGTGCCACAAATAAGACTTGTAATTTGCATCTTGGAAATTTGTTGAAATGATTGAGTACACATTAGTTGAGCTGGCTTAACAGCTTTACCTTTTTGGATAGAGTAATGCTATAAAAACTAACCATTAGCAAAATATATACCAGTATCTGGATTAACAGAAAAAAATATATACTGTAAGCATCGCATTAAATAGGTTTTGTCCGTTCTGTTTCTTCCACAGGAATTTCCAGCGCGAAGGCGATTCATTGTTAATGAAAGATATAAACTTCTATATTGCCAAGTATTTAAAACTGGAAGCACAACTACGTTAACCATTTTACATAACCTTGAACACAATGACAGAAGAAATACACACGACATGAGAGAACAACTCAATAACTTGCCATTCAAGCGGCTGAATACCTATTCTGATGAGGAAATACGTTTTCGATTTGAGACGTACACAAAGCTGATTATTGTCCGCAATCCATTAGAAAGGTAAGTAAATAGTAAATAGTAGAATTGTTTGTACTCAACGTTAATATTTTTTTTTTAATTTGTGAGGAGGGTATGTTTTCGGTTTTTGGCTCGGTTGGCTGACGGTGTGGGCCGTTATCTATGCCAATGTGATAACTAGTGTGGACAAGGGTGATTTGTTAAATGATATCTTCGTTAACGTCACAAGGAAATCTACCCACCCTGACAGTACAAAAAGGGTACAAATGTTTACTAATGAAGAGCTCTGCACAATCGACGTATCGGCGGAGGAAGTCCAAAAGGTCCTCCGAGGTACACATCCCAATAAGGCCCCTGGTCCTCCCGGGATATCAAACTTCTTGAGGAGGTCAATCATCAGCACTTCCTTGTGTGATCTTTTTAACTTTTCACTCTTAACCAGCCAGCTACCTATTAAGTGTTTTTTTTTACCCTGTGTACGAGAAGGGGGGTAGTACTGACCCCTCCTGTAGTTTTAACACCGGAGCCTTGAAACACCCTCTAGTGTTCTTATGCAGGAGCTTGAATGGGACAGACTATTGACCAGAAGACACTTTCACTCCATGGTTATGATGTATAAAGATAAAGTGCTCAATGGTCTCGTCTACTGTCCCCTCACTAGCAACCGCTAGAAGCCAGCCCGCAAATCGAGCAAAAAGTCACACGCGTACAGCTTCGGAACTCTACGGACCTCCAATTCCTCATTATAGAACTTAGACCTACAAGACCAGCTTCTTACCTCACGCGTCGCGACCGTGGAACCTACTGTCCAAGTCAGTAAAGGAACCACGCAGTATCAGCACATTCAATAACTTGTGTCAACTGCTAAATCAGTAAAAATATAAGTCAGACGGAACAGTAATATTCTAGCAGCTAGAACTCCTATAGGCAGGAAGTAGCTGTCGAACAAGTGGACTAATACGTAGCAGTAAATAAGATGCAGTTATTACCTTCGCCAAGAAGGTGTGTGTGTGTGTGTGTGTGTGTGTGTAGGTGTCTGTGTGTCTGTAAATACGATTATTTGAGAAGGCTTGAATGGATTGTCCTCATATTTCGTAGATAGGTAGGTCTTCATAAGACCTTGCAATGATTAGATTTTGGTCCCCTTTGCAGCTTTTTATGTTACTGCAGCGAAACTTCCCGTTTTGATATTTCATAATCTAGACATACTAGGGGGACAGAATTTAAAAAAAAATAGGTAGCTCTTGAGCTGGGCAAGAAGTGACGCAGGTTTTGACCCCCTAGCTGCTTGCTCTGGAACTGCAGGGGTGATTTTTAAAAAATGTTCAGGATAACTAGAGAACCGGTTAATGGATCGTCATGATTTTGGTATGTAGGTAGCTTAAATGTTGCTTGACATAATTATGCGGCAATTATGTAAATATGGATGTAATTTGAATAAGTTATGAGGGGATTTTATAAATCTGTTTCATTAACCCTAAACAGTACACCTGGGGTCCGCGCGGACCCCAGCACTATATATGCTGTAATATTTTTTTTTGTTTCCAAATATTTTTTTCTGAAAGTTCAGGTAATTGTTACCCACAAAGTTGTCCCTCAATACAGTGCAGAAAATCCAGTTTCCCCCATTCTTATAAAATTTTTATATCTGATTTTCTTTTTTTGGGTCCGCGCGGACCCCAGCCGGCTATCGATCGTAATGGATACACTGGCGTTCTTATACATTACTATATTTCCGTTTTTATATGCTTTTATGCACTTATCGTATGGTCACCAAATTTTCAGAGAATAGTGTACTAATAGAATTAAATTCTAAAAGCTTTGGTGTAATTATGACGTCATATGACGTTAGAGCTAATAACATGGTCCGCCATCTTGGATTTTGACCAATGACGCCATCAAATTAGCATATATTTTGAATATTAAATGATTTAATTTATCTCTAATTATGTAACATGGCAACACAGCAAATCAATAACTTATTTAACTAATATAAAATTTATCTAGATACATTTTACGAAAGCTCACCAAATTTGATGGTTCTAGCTCAAGCCGTTTAGGCGATATTTGAGATTAAAGTTGGCTCGGGCCTCAAAAAACACTCGGTCTGAATAGGGTTTAAAAATCGGGTTTTTCCTCCTTTTGTTTTTCTTCACAAAAAAATAGGAAAAGGTCCAAATGTATGATTTTTGTACGTAATGTGGACTCGCATATCAATTTGCAAAATAATTGAGCTGGTATCATGTTGATAATTTCTAAAAATTAGCAAAAAAAATGCTCTGGGGTCCGCGCGGACCCCAAGTTTACAGATTTATCAGTCCGAGAAGGTGTACTGTTGAGGGTTAAATCATACGATAATTCAAGCTTCTGACATATGTAATTGAGAACAAAAGAAACACAGGCTGACATCGGTTATCTAACCAAAGACTTAATTTGCATAATGAATGAAACGATGTTATATTTCCATAATGGTAACTGCCTGGAATTTCATACTTTGGGTTATAGAAAGTTTTTTTTGTTGATTGTATGAGGTTGTAAGAAGTTGTGAGAAACTGAACAGAGCGCTATGCATTGGAGATATAAAAGTCAGAACCTAACGATATAATTTCAATTGTTCTTAAAAATGCAGACTTGTATCAGCATGGGAGGACAAATTCTCCTACGCCCCGTCACGATTCGGATACCGGAAACAGTATCATTCTATGCTGAAAACACTTCTCTCCAACACGTCAAATACAATGGTATGTTACTTTTATTAGCATTTGATTTAACCAACAAGAAGTATACGGATGTACTTATACATTTGATTGAATAAAACATCAAAAACTATTTCAACAGAGTTTTCTGATATCACAGCTATTGACAAGTAGTCTGAAGTGAGGTGCACATATGGTATCTTAATTAACCCTATCTAGACCGGGCTTTTTTGGACTTGGTGGGACCGGGGGGGGGGGGCTCATTGAGGATGGTGTACTAGTAAAAATTTATCATATCTACAATTTTCATGTCGTTATGATGTAATATGACATCATTTTGAAGTCATCAATGTGATTTTATTGCCCAAAACCATATAGATAGGTTATTCCCTGAAAACTAAATGGTATACGACATAACTTTACTAAAGGTGTTTATGACATAATATTAGGGTGTACTACGTCTTATGTTGCCCATAGCAACAACGGTTACGTCATTAAATGACGTCACGCATATTTAAGATATCCGCCATCTTGGATCATCAATCTTGAATTTTTAAAAATAGTTTTTTTTTTATGTTAAAGCCTTGTCTTCATTTAAAACTTTTTTGGAAAAAGAAATGAAAGTATTGATAAAATTTAAGGAAAATAAGGTTCCGGGTCGGAGTTTAAATCTGACCAGAGCCTAAGTAAATCGCCGGAAACGTGACTTTGTATGGTATGTTTTGGCCGCGATATCCCCGAAATCGTAATATCTGTGTACATATATTTGTATTTTCTGAAAAGCCTGTTAGTTGTAGCCTTTATAGGTGGCGCAGTGTTGATGTACCTTATTTATCCCTTAATAAATTGGGCGCACAGAATATAAATCAAGTGTATTTATAAGCGGAACGGCACCCCTTTACAGCTAAAGAGTGAAACATTCCGATCCGCGTTTAGTACAGAAATGACAGCCCGTCGGGCTGAGGGTGTCAAATTGCTCCGAACACGGAAGAAAACTCCGGTCCGAGACCTTAACCTGTATATACCTGTTCTAATAGTATGGTCCGCCATCTTGGATTTTGGCATAAATTATGCATATTTAATAATGAAATTTACATAAAAAATTTATGGGATGTTATTAATATTAGAAACCATGAGTAACTTGACATAAAAACCCATAAAATTCTATTGTTGTCTATTCTAAATTTAGCAATAAAAGGCTGTCAGAAATCCATTGCCATGGCAACACAAAATTTGTTGTCTTATTCCAATGATAGAGAATTGTTGCCAACAATATCCTAGAAAAAGTCACCTAGTTTGGCCGTTCTAGCGCTAGCCGTTCAGACGCTAGGTGACATCAAAGTTGGCGCGGGCACTTTTAGCCTCCCCCCCCTGTCTAGGTAGGGTTAAGGCGAAATGGACCTATACCATTATTACGTCACAGTTTGTTTACCGCAATGACTGCCGGTCAATCGACGTTCATATTGTGCGTAGCGCGGTGTGTGTTTGTGTAGCGTTAGCCTAATATAAGACTTTTAATACAGCACTACTGTCGTCTAATGTCACAACTAAATCACCCATGCGGCATGTAATGCTGTGTCAACACAACTAGACGCAGCAAAAATCAGACATACCTTACTTTGAAAACTTTAAAATGATCTTTATTCTTTAACTGACCGTTCTAGAATGTTCTTTAGAACAGGTAAACAAACTGTGACGTAATAATGGTATAGGTCCATTGGGAGTGGCCAAACGTAGCCCGAGACAAATTCACTTGCATACACGTTATTAAAACCTAGAATTTGCCACCTTAATATGGGATCCATATTTTGTATGAACAACTATGAAAGAGGTGCTAGTGTCACGGAAATAACACGAACCTAAAGTGGGTGTCACTCGAAGGCAGGCAAGAAATAAACTGATGGACGTATCAACTACTGAGTACCTTATACCAGCTCAGAAAAGAACAATAAAAGAACATGCCTTTTAGTGCTACAGTTAACCTAGATTAAAAACTCATTAGTTCCTAGAACTATCGCAGAGTGTAGGTACTATCGGAAGGTTAGGTGTAAAAAATCGTTCGATGTAAGGTAGCCAGCTGATGTGTTACGCTGACGAGCGGTTATGCTGACTATACAGATACAGAAAATAAATCAATGTCTTTAACAATACATCTTTTTTTTTTTCAGTTAGGACCATTTGAACTGCTTCCCGAAGGTACTGACAATAGATCATACCCAATAGTTCCGTTTACGGCATTTATCAAAGCGGTTGGAACGAACAGGACGGAGTGGCAAGATCCTCACTGGCAGCTGATTTCAGACCTATGTGCCCCTTGCCAAGTAAGTAGTATTTAAGTTATTTGTTCAGCATTGAAATGGGAGAAAGGGGCTTGATATATCTGGTTAGGGTGTTTTGAAAAGTAATAATTGGGACACTACTGATAAGCTTGGGGTTTTGATGAAAATACTATTTGAAGATTAGGAACATACGTTTTAGTAGACCTTAATATTCTATCCATTTGTTTATCCATCCGATTGTTTTTCAAGCGCATGCCATGAGTTCTCACTAACCATCAGCATAAAGAAAACTGTGGTTATGGTCCAGAATGCTCCATGTCCCCCTCTTATAACAGTGAACGACTCCAGTCTTGCTGTAGTCAACAGGTTTACTTACCTCGGGTCGACGGTCACCCACAACCTATCCCTTGACATAGAAATCAATACCAGAATTGGCTTGAGATGGCTAGGCCATGTCCGCCGCATGGATCAAGACCGCATTCCAAAGGACTTACTGTACGGCCAGCTTGAGCATTGGCCTCCCTCCAGACGGAGGGAGGCCAATGATGATGAATATTCTATCATAAACACTTTTTAAACCTTTTGTTGCACACCATTTTTTTGAGAATGACATACATATATGGTTTGAGGCAATAAAATCGCATGAATGACGTTACGTCATAATAATACTGCTGTCATGGTTGATTATTACAAGTACACCATCATCTGATAAGTTTCTGGTCATAAGATATACCGTTCACGAGTCTCGGGTGGTGGCGGTGGTGAATGAGCCCCCCAACCCGCGTTCCTAGAGCCACGGATCCCAAAAAGAAACAGTCTAGATAGGGTTGAATAACATAGGTGACAGCGAAAGGTACTTAATCAGGGATTACTTATTATTGACCCAAATATTGAGTCTTGCTATCTCCTTCAAGAAGGACATATGTCATATTTGATGTCATGTTTGTTAAGTTTGATTGGTGCCGCCATTCGTTGTCAAAAATGGAGATAATCTTAGTATTCGGTAGGTGGAATGTTGACTAATTCTGAGCATTCTGAAGCCTTTATACAATCACTGAGCATGCCACATATATGGCGAAATATTCAAGAGCGGATGTCTGTAAGGGTCAAACAATGGTGTCACCGGTCAAAACATTTTTTGGTTAATTTTTGCACAGTGATAGTACTTGGTACATAATCCCTCAAAATAGCTTTCTTTTTGCTCAGAACCCCTTTAGTGTAGTTGCAGACACGTGGGTCGCAATAGTTGTAACAATTTAATGTTTGCCTCAGATGTTAGGACTAGCGGTAATTACGTATTATCTGCCGGCCCTATAGATTGACTACGACTTCATCATGCACACGGAGACAATAGCGGAAGACTATCAGTTGTTCTTTAGGAAGGCTGGAATCGTTGGGAGAGAAGACCTGATCCCGGAAGTACGACAGAGGAAAGGTGATAGACTATTTTGGGATTTCTATAAAGAAATACCATTGGAAGATTTGTGGCAAATCAAACAAAAGTTTAAAGCAGACTATGATATGTTTGGATATAACTTCCATGATGACATTGCAAAACTTTTTAGCCGTTGATTCTTCGAAGATCTTTCTATTTTCTCTCTAAAGCCATTTTAGTCCATTCAATATTTGCTAAAACATTACGATAATTTTGTTGAATACTTCTGAATTTGTGTACTATAACTATAATCCCTACCAACCATAATGTTACAGATTGTTTCAAACGTATCTTACAACCTACCAAAACTGCTACTTTTAGATGCAATTTCCCTGAACACTAAAAGGCAAAACATAATTATCTTATTACATTGATGTTACATGGAAAGAGAGTATTCCATCCTTGTTAATCATAGATATTGACGATCACAAAATTCTGTTTTAGGTTTTATTCGTTAGGTGTTTATACATAATTAAAATCACGGAAGCTTTGAAAACATGTATAGTACGCTAGTTTTATGGTAACAATATTTTATATACCCTTGACTACATAGTAAAAACCTATGAATCAGTTATCTAATAAAACATATTACATCGTGGTGATCCTGATCTAATTGTAGTTTATTTGACTGTGTACATTGTTCTTTGCTAGTTTTATGTGTGCTTTCATAGCTATTGAACTAATTATGTGGCTGTCAAAACTGCATTGCGAACTGAGCAAGAAGTAGAGAAATGTATTTAGAACTACCTTGGCCAAAAATACGTTAGTCGACGTGGAAATTATAAATGGTTCATAATAATCATAAAGCAATCCAACTTTGAATTAATTATATAAGTATGACTTGTATCAATAAATGGTTTGGAGGGAGAGTGCTCTTGCCCTGGAGACCCAAACATATTTGTCACGAAAATTTAGTTAGGAAGTTTCAACAATGCACGATAGCAACCTGCCAAGCAGTGCAAGATTAAAGCCATAAAAAATCCAGTACTATTTAATAGGTGTTTCCTTACCGGCACATTCGACAAAACAACACTTTTCAGCACTCAAACAATACCCGCATTAACTTTATTTCGTTATTTAGAATCTAGTACAGTTTGCTGGATTTTTTTTAAATACAAATAAGGATTTTATTTGCATAATCAGAAGGAATCATCTTTGTCAGTCATAAAGATTAACATCATTTGGCGAAGGTATGAGATCGTCGGACTCTAGTTAAAAATATATTTTGAAACATTTGGTCCTCACAAGTAAGAAGTGTACACATGTAGAGCTAAGTGAAAAATGTTCCTTTAATTGTCACAATTATAACAGTCTCTTAAAGGATTGCTACAAGTCCCCTAATCTACTAAGATGTAACAATAGTACATGTAGATGAGGTTCATAATAGACATTAAGCAAGGCAAGTTAAGCTTTGTTACATGTATATATACATTTTAGGTAATACATATATGCTACTTAGAATTTAGAGATTGGCTGAATCTATTTTATAATTTAAGGGAAAATTATCTTTTCCCTTGTTGAATTTTTCCATAATTGCCCTGCAAAGATGTAAAGAGTGCAGTGGAAGGTATTAGGCCCTATCAAATTTTCCTTCAAATGCAGAAATATCTTTGAAAAAAAAAAAAAAAACTGACAATCTTTATGATCTTAGTTGTCAAATTTCTCATAATTGACTATTAAAGGGGGGTACATAAAATAACACTGCCTTAGTAGTACATTACAGTGCAAAATTCACTGCTTGTCTCAGTACATTTGACCAGCCAACAGTGTCTACATACATTGTACAAATTGTACCTGGACATCAGTTGTGACCTCATTTGATCTATCAAGCAGATGCATACAAAGTTTCAGAAGTAGTATTCAACTCAAAATATGAGACTATCTTTCCACATTTGGTAGAATTAATAACAAATTTTTTAGTTGATGTGAAAAACAGTTCCCATTTCCCTTCAAGCCAGGAGACAAACTATCCTCACTTGCTGAAAGAGTGCCAAGAGCTTCTGTACTTCAGAATACAAATGATATTGAGTCATTCTATCTTACAGCTTTAAACATCACATCTTCAGTAAATGACTAGGAATGCACCAGCAAGCAAGCTAGCTGTGAAAACAGTTTTGCAGGGAAATAGCCGTAGCAGATTTTACGTCTTGTCGTCGGTCATTTCCAGGAACTGAGCGTACGCGTCCCGCGTACATTCACCCTTCGGGTTGAAAAGGAACTTGTAGTAGCTTCCGTCTGAACAGATGGCTATAACAGAATTGGGCTCAGAACCAAAGGCACAGATGCACTGGGTCTGGTTGGGGACTTGGAAGCGCGAAAAACTCCACTTGGAGGAGAAGTACTTGGGCAGATGCGAACAGTTTGCTGGATGCTAACGTCGTTTGTACCGCCAGTGCACGGTGGTAAAAACGGCCCTAAAATCCCCAATGGTGTACCGTAGCTAATTAATATGTTTTAATCGTAACTAATGTGAAGAGGTTATTCAGTCCGGGAAGGTGTACTGTTGAGGGTTAATTTTTTAGCAATCAACATTTTGTAGAAGTGTTTAGGCAGAGTAATTGTATTAAAAATAAAAGGGATATTTTATTTTGCTCTATCTCTCAATATTTTATACATCCTAACATACAATTCACTAAGATCTTTCAGATGTATTTAAAACAAGTGCTTTAAAAAAAAAAGCTGTCGTTTGACGCCTTTGTATTTTTGCACAAGAAAATCGCATGCAACTAATGTGTGTCTTCTTTGACCAAAAAAATTCTTGTGATGTAAGGAGCAATTTATTTCAATTGTGCTGTTTTTTTTATATTGGTAGCTTGTCAATGGCCTTGCTAAATGTAGTTATTTCACATAGGAAGAATGAGGAATGAAAGTGCAGTAAACGAGAACTTGTTTTGTTTCTGGTGAAGGCTGTGTCTGACCATTGACCTAGAAGGGACTTGACTCTATTTATATTTAACCAAACTCAGCCTGACAACTATGATAAGTTAGTAGTTGCAAGATTAAATGGAAAGAAATCAACAGTGCAAAGAAGTGTGTGATAGTGTAGTTTTATTTTGATAGATTTTGGTAATGTGCTATTTTTATGACCTGTTGGTCAGTTCAAATATATACAGTAAGCAATGCATACAGGAGTGGAGTCCGAGTACCATGGTCAGTTGAGTTGGTGGTGCATGCACGAGCGGAGTTCTGTGTATATTTGTTTAGTAGAGTAGGAAATGTTTGCTGTCATGTGACCATATGTACTGTCATGTATTGTCTTATTGTTGACATCTTGGTGTAACACTTTGTGCCAGTCTTGTCATCTCTGTTAAGACTGATGAAAATGCTGTTATCTTCTTTGGTTATGTGATATAGAACAGCTATCAAAGAATCTGCAGTGCATTGTTTACCTCTACTAGTTTCACTGAAAATGCTGTCACCTTGGTGGTATTTTCCTGATAGCATAGCTTCACACATTGTGGAGAAGGGCAATCAATAACTTGTAAGTTATATGTGACAAATGTGACACAAGCACACAAAGGTGTATCTGTTCAAATCGTTTAAAGTGGGGCACGCATGTTAACAACATCACTGCGAAGGCCAAACAAACATTGGGAGTCATCAGGCGCAAACCTGAAGTCATGTCCAAAAAGGGTAAAAACACTTGCATATACGAACCTGGAAACTAACCTGCAGTTCCAGAACAAGCTGCTAGGGGTACCAACCTTACACCACTTATTTCTGACAGGTTAAGCTATCTGTCACCAAAACGTCACAAAAACAGTAAGTTCTGCTGCAGTACCAGGGTCATCAACCTTCGTCGAGGTAATAACTTAAACAAGACATTAAAGCTATTCAAACTTTAAACAATTGTAAAACTCACGCCAAACTCTATTTCATAAATAACTCCACACTTCCTTAGGTCTTTTTAACACTCAAATCACACCCTTTAATACTGTGTTTTCATATATTTATCATTACATAGACAAAGTTTGATGTACCTATTGATTAATTTATTGTTTTTTTTAAATATTTTCATCTGTTTAAAGACAAACCTATTTATCTAGTTTGGTTCACCGTATTGTTGCATTAATTATGCCAACCTTGATTAATTTGTTTAGTTGATTCATTTATCACTGTACTTGTTTATTATCTTTTCATTACTTCTTCATTGTTATTTTATTTAATTTGATTAAACTGTAGAAATTGTAAGATCGTGACGGGGAGAATATCAAATAAGCCTTTCTGGCTTTTCTTCCACCCTTTGCCCCTTGCACATTTTTTTCAATTGTAATATTTCGTATAGCTTTTTTTATACGTGTAATATCGTACTGCATGTCCATTTTCCCCATCTATCGCTTGATAAAATGTATTGATGCAATGCATGTCTGGCTAAAACACCCCTTAAACAACATTAGTGCAGTCCAGGTCAAAGGTTGCATATTTGCAAAATTACCTCAATGATTATAACGTAGGACACCCATACCAACATCCGGTCACATCTCGTCAGGCTGTTAAAAGGGTAGCCAACGTTTCCCAACCAGGTCATCGAGGGAGCATTGACGGGAATTGACAATGCAATATCAGAGGTCGGTATATATACAGATGTAAATCTTCTCAATGTTTGCAAAATACGTTTATAGATCCAAAACAGGTGAAAAGCTACAGCAAATCAAACCACGTAACTGAATATAGTTTGAGTTTAAAAAAAGGAAAATGATTATTATAGTTCGTTTCTGGATATTAATTATCTATGCGTTTATTTACTCTTAATATATCCCATTGGATTCGACCTTTTCACCTCCGGAAATAGTTACTTTTTTACCCATCCTCAATTACTTTTTTCCCATTCTTAAGACAAAGACAATCCCTTGAGTTAACTTCAATTAGTGCGACAGCCACTTGCTATCTTGTTAAGCTGTCCTTGTTATATTGACTTTTTTACTTCTTAATTATGGGTTCACCACACCACGAAGTGGTGTGGTGAAACCATATTGCTTTTTCTGATGTTTCTTCTTCTTCTCCTCCTCCTCCTTCTCCTCCTCCTGCCATATCTTTAAATGGATTCAGCTTCTTCATTTTAGGGCCTAAGGTCCTGAAATTTGGTATGGAGGTACAGTGGGCAAATACCCCTAGGCGTTTTTTAAATTATTGTGATACAGGCTTTTAGAATGGTTTTATTTGAGTTTTTTGGCTGTGTAATAGCTAATGTATTACTGTGTAAGTGTGCAGTGTTTACCACATTTGGACATGAGTCATCACAATGGCATGCAAGGCATCAACCAATAGGCATGCAGCTTTCCTCTATTCTCCTTGCTGATTGGCTGTTGGGATTTAACTGGCTTAACTTCATTTACACCTGCACAGAGCCATGCCATACTGACAGTATGTCTGTATTCAAGTGTTTTGGTAGGTATTTTAAGCTTTCCTGCTCCAGCATTGGAATGCGGGCTATGAACGCTTCTTTTTATCTTGAAAATCAACAGTTTGCATTATGCAATCCTAACCAATAATGTAGGGAATAGCTATCCAACTGTTGTAGTCTTAGTTGTATGTTACTTCATACTATAGTTATATCAATGTAAAGCATTGTTTTCCCTTGTGTTTCTCATTCTTTCCCTGCCATGTGGTAAAATGTGGTGAACCCATCGCTATATTTGCTCCAAAGCAAATATTGGCCTTTCTAGTTGGATTTAATCTTTTCACTTCCTTTTTTTCATTTTTCTAGTTCTTAACAATAAATATTAACTTGTTTAATATTAACAAATTATTGAAGGAAATCCACTCTTCAAAATCACCCAAAGGTTTTATTGGAAGACTATATGTTTATTTGAAAAATATTTATGTGTGCTTAAAACATTGAATTCATGTAACCTTTACGTTCACATGTACTTTGTAAAGGTACCGGTACGTAGTGACACTCACTTTGTGCACTGTAAAAAAAACACAATCGTATTTTACTAACTATATGTGCCCTAATTTGTCCTGAATTTCAGTAATATTGACACAGTTTATTGTGTGATGTCCGCATATTGTGTTATATTTGTACTTCGTACGTATACTGTGTGATATTTGCATAGCATACGTTGTAGCACTTGACATTTAAATAACTACCACGGAGGCTTAAATAAAAATATTAATGCTACCGTAAGCTGCGTTATTTCGCTGTATGTACCCATGTACATATGTCTTTAAATGCCCGTAATACGTTATTATGCAATTACACTGTGTAAAATACGTTGCCTAAGAATGTCTACAAGTAAATTATACAGCCTATTGTAGTCAAAAACAAAGCTAAAGTATTGGGCGATTTTCTGTTTTGGGTATTTAGAGAGATCAAATAATCGAACAAGTAAAATCTGTGAGATTTAATACCTCCGGGCTTTTTATTGTATATTTCTATATGTTGTTTGTTATTTATAGTTGATTCCGCCGATTCTTAGTATAAATCGGGGAACTAAAGGTCTGAACCTCGGTAAAAATGCATGTCGTTAACGTCTGAGACACCGTCACTGTACACCGCGGTATTTGTAAGTTATATGGCGGTCTGTCACTACGGCATACTTTCCCATTGCTAGGGGGTTCGAAAAGGTATCGGGTTACAAGACGCTATTTTGGCCTGTTTTGGACTACCAGTAAAAAAACTGAAAATAAAAAAAAATGATTCAATAATAAATTTCGTCAAATTAAAATGAAATTATCGTCTTAACATCCTTTTCATATTAGCTGTTTATCTTGAATCCTTTTTTTTTAATTTTGCTCCAAAGACGATTATTTTCGGGTTTCCGACCACAAGTCATGTCATGTTTTTAGGCAAATATCGTTTAAACCTGGCTACGTATATTACCCCAGATCCCCGATTTTTATATTTTTCGACGACTAGGCATACGATAAAAAATCGTGTTTTAGGAATTTTTCAATTGGTGAAAAAATTGCATTTTTTAAACATTTTTCGCACTAAACTACCCATAATTCAAAATTGAGGCCATTTAAAAAAAAAAAAAATAAAATATTATTTTCGGGACAACCGTTACGGTCATTTTTAGCCGTGAATGGGGTATGTTTGACTCTCATGCTTGCAGGTTTAAACGAGTTTTGCAGACATGTCATGTCGACCAAAAGTCTGCATTATGTTATTCATACTGGCGTAAAGGTTCGCTTCGCTACATGTTACAGATCCACAAAAATGATAGCGGACATGTGCTGTCCAGGGAACTGTTTGTATCTTTAGAAAAAGTGTTGTTTTTTATCTGTTGCAAGGCACGAAGGCAAAAAGGCATGTTTTGCTGTTTTATTGTAAATGACCGCAGGTGACCCCCAAATGGTACGCGGGTTCGATTCGAATTGCCCTGATCGAACACGATCGAACACAGTTCGGGTTTTATGAAATGTGGGAACTTTGCAGACCAGATTTTACCACCGTGTTAGAAGTTGTAATATACGCCGAAAAACATCCAAAACAAAGCTTGCGTAGGAGTACGTTGACCCCTGACCCATTGGCAGCTTTGCCACCCGAAAGTGCCGATCACACGTCCTGTGAACGGCGTACTAAAAATACCCTCCAAACAACAATTGTTGCGCCTCGCATACAAAATATACATCTGCACAACAACAAATGTTGCGCGCCGCAGGACTATGGTTTTAGACAAAGAATTTATCGAGACCGGCCACCCTCCTGTGCGAGGGGTCATCTTTTTCTGGACTAGACCAATAATACCGACCGGTCGCGACCATTTTCATGCTGAAAGGGGTGGCAACCAAAAGACACCATTTTAACGCCCTAAAACTCGGTTGGGTTAAGGCTGCATAGGCTGATATTCATGTTCGAGTTCAAACGTGTGTCTGCACGATTGCCACAGACATGTTTCGAACCCGAATCATGTTCCACCATGTTCGATATGACGTCATTCGAATAGAACGCGTGTTCGAATTCGGGGTTACCGGCGGTCATTTGTATGTTTTCCCTGTAAACCCGCGGTGTTACGTTGTTCACGGAGTATGAGTTAAACAGCTTTACGCGCAGTTGAAAACAGCATAATTGATCTTTAGAGTAATCCATGTTTACGTATTATCACTTTTTTTATCAAAATTGTTTTAAGGCTATTTTGCATATAAGTCGATATTTTTTAACTGTGGCGATTTTTTAACGAAAAATGACAGAAAGATAGCTGTTTCTGTCGTTTTGGGCCCAAAAAACAATGTAACTGTCATTTAAAACAAAATAGCCTCGGACAAAAATAATAAATAGGGAGTTGGCTTTCTACTTGTAAAATATCATGATGAAAGGTGTTGTTACCGCTTGCGCGCAAAGCCATGAAGTAAACAGCTTTTTTAACCAAAATGTTGATTTTTAACCCAAAAATCCAGAAGTAGTAAAAACAAAATAATCTTTATTAAATGTGTTTCAAGTACTATTAGAACTGTGTGAAGTTTAGTTGTGGTGCGACCAAGCTATCAAAAGTTACAGGCATATGTATGAAATACTACTCATAGTATGCCATAGGCTGCCTTAACCCAACCGAGATCACAAATACAATAAAAAAAGAACTTGCGTCATCTACAGCCCAATAGCAAAACACATACTGAGTCTCAAAAGAATCCGTCCACCCAAACGCAAGAAACAGCAGCGAACATGAAATTTTAAATATCTCACAGAACCCTTACGCAGAAGGATGTCTCCTCCCCTCACATTCCCAAGTATTGAAGGAAAATTGTTCCACGAGGAAATTGCTTGAGACAATATGTAACTAATCTATGAATAAAGACATCCATAGATAATTTATATATATATATGTATACATATATATATATATATATATATATATATATATATATATATATATATATATATATATATATATATATATATATATATATATATATATATATATATATATGGCATTATAAGTAACTTTGCAGTGGGTGTGTTTATAGAAGGTTTTCTTTTGGTCTCTCTTTCAGATGCTAATAAGAATGAAAAATACTCTAAACAAAGCTTTGTTGACTGTGTTGAAACAAGAGAGCCAACGTTTACAAAAAGCACTGGTAGGCCTACAGAAAGCACTGGTATGTCTAAAGGAGCGCGGGTACGTCTGAATAAAGCACTGGTACGTCTACGGTGAGCAGTGGTACTTCTACAGAAAGCACTGATTCGTCTACGGTGTGCAGTGGTACTTCTACAGAAAGCACTAGTGCGTCTTCAGTGAGCAGTGGTACTTCTACAGAAAGCACTGGTGCGTCTACGGTGAGCAGTGGTACTTCTACAGATAGCACTTGTGCCTCTTCAGTGAGCAGTGGTACTTCTACAGAAAGCACTTGCACGTCTATGGTGTGCAGTGGTACTTCTACAGAAAGCACTGGTGCGTCTACGGTGTGCGGTGGTACTTCTACAAAAGGCACTGGTGCGTCTACGGTGAGTAGTGGTACTTCTAAAAACGCACCGATACGTCTAAAGAAAGCACTTGTGCGTCTACGGTGAGCAGTGGTACTTCTACAAAAAGCACTGGTGCGTCTATGGTGATCCAGTGGTCCTTCTACAGAAAGCACTTGTGCGTCTACGGTGTGCAGTGGTACTTCTACAGAGAGCACTTGTGCGTCTACGGTGAGCAGTGGTACTTCTACAGAGAGCACTTGTGCGTCTACGGTGAGCAGTGGTACTTCTACAGAAAGCACTTTTGCGTCTACAGAAAGCACTGGTACGTCTACAGAAAGAATTGGAACCTCTCGACACATTCAGGAAATAGTTCAACATGCTTTTGAGACGTCATACTAATAAGATTTTATTGATCTTGATTTGGTCTGTTATTTTCCTCTGGTGGTACACTACACGACATGGTGGTCTTCATTGGGTACTTTCAGATCACTCAACTCAAAACCGGAATGACGCGGGACCTTTACTACCAGACACCACAGGATGTGTTCCTAATATAGCGGCTGATCCGTCAGTTGATTCCAGTGCAAAGTTTTATTCAATTTGGAAAGACTCAGTAAAATATGCACAGAAAGGTAAAGGTATAGCAAAGAAAATTGTTTTTTGGACAAAGTTATGGAAAAAACACTTGAACGTTTTTATGCCAGGAAAAGAAGGCAAACTATGCCCAACGTTACCACAGTGTATTTTTACGACAAGCGCAGAAAATCTTCAAAATGCCGATGCTATAGTCTTCGAAAACAGTCAGCTACCAGTAACGTACATCAAGTCAGAAATGCCACTGACACGTTCGCCACATCAACAATGGATCTGGTTTATTTCTGAATGCCCGAACTACCTGACAATTGACCTGAACTCATATAGTGGTGTTTTCAACTGGACCATTACGTACAGGACTGACTCTGATGTGTCAGGAGCCTGGGGATCTCTACACATGGTTTACAGCAGACTTAAAGGAGCTGATCTTGATCCTAACACAGACTATTCAGTAGGAAAAACTAAGCTTGTTGTCTGGTTTATCAGTAAATGTTCATCAAGAGCCCAGCGTATTGTGTATGCAAAGGAATTAATCAAGTATATTCATGTTGACATCTTTGGCAAATGTGGAAGAATTGTTTGTGAAAAGCAGGACTTCGCGTGCACAGTACAATACATTCGGCAATACAAGTTCTATCTCGCGTTTGAAAATATGAAATGTAAAGAATATATTACTGAAAAATTCTGGAGACATGCTCTATCCAATAACGTTGTTCCAGTTGTGTTCGGAGCACCTAAGAAAGATTATGAATACTTGACTCCTCCGAACTCCTTTATTCATGTGGATGATTTTGAGTCACCAAAAGCCTTAGCCGGCTACCTGAAGCTACTCGATACGGACACAGAGATGTACAATCAGTACTTCAAATGGAAGACTAATCCCCCCCAAAACATTCCTTTGGATAACGGAGTGTGGTGTAATCTATGTAGGAAGCTCATCCGGATATGTCCTGATACAAGAAAGATGTATACTAACCTTGAGAAATGGTACAGAGGTGAGAACAATGATCAATGCGTCCCGTTACGTAATGGGACGTATCATGAGGTGCAGTTTGCATCCGATGGGTCCCAAAGCAATTACTGAATTAAGGATATCTACTTAAAATACACATGGTTAATCAT